CGTGAGATCACGACCTGATCCGAAGTCGGACGCTCAACTGACTGAGCCACCCAGGCGCCCCGGTATTTTTTTTTTTTAGGTTAGCCCCATGCCCAATACGGAGCTTGAATTCAAGACCTTGAGATCAAGAGTCGCATGCTTTACCGAATGACGCAGCCAGGCACCCCTGAATTGGTATTTTAAAATAATCTCTCTGGTTGCTGAGCTGGGAATCAGTGGGGGGACGGGGACACGGGTGGCGGCCATGGGGAGAGGTGGGATTCTGGGCACCTTCTGAAGGTGGAGACAATTTGCTCACGGACTGGATACAAGTGAGAGGGAGAAGGGTCAAGGCCGACGCTAAGGTTGGGGGTCCGGGCAATGGAAACAGTGGGGCTGGCATGGCCTGGGTCAGGAGGGCTGGGGAGATGGGGGGCTCGGGTGTACCCAGGAGACACCGCATTTGAGTCATTCCTGGGACCCCCAGGTAGGTGGGCAGGTGGGTACTTGAGACTGAAGACATAAACTGGGGCATCTAGAGTCTGTAGACAGTTTCCACAGCCATCAAGTTTGGGGTTTGCTCCCCTCACTCACCAGGTCCTCTAGACGTTAACCCTCTGCTGTTATCTCTCCCCGCCAGATGAGGACAGCGGGGGCTCGGAGGAGTCACATGACGTGCTGCCGGGCCACCGCCCCAGTCAGCAGCCAGGATTCAGACCCTCCCTGCGGGGTGTGAGCTGCTGGAACTTCCAACAGAGACCTGCTGTCGTGACTCTCCAGCTGTGCCCCGGGCCAGGTGCAGGATCCCCCCCCCCAGCAGGGTCCCATGCTGCTCTTGGAGAACAGGGCTCCACCCCCTGTCCCCCTGTGTCCTCTCCACCCATTCCGGAAACCCCGGCCGAGACTCCACACACAGTAAGCGCCCGGCAGATACGGACTCATGCTTGACTCGAACGAAGAAGACGGCCTGAAACGTTGGCCGTCTTTGCTGCTGCAGAGAAGCCTTATGGGAAATTCAGAGATCATTACTGTTTGGCTTTAGGGTACATAATACGATGCCATTTGCAGCAAATCTGCAAATAACCCCTAATTAGGTTTTCCTAGGCTAAAAAAGCAAATTTGCTTTCCCAGAGGACATGCCAACCACGGCGGGGCGGGGGGGG